TCAGAAAAAAAAACAACAGCCCAGACCCAGGATTGGAAGAACTGAAGATGTCACAGATGGCAATCTGCTTTTGCCCCCTTTTTAAGGAGCTTGTTCTGTTTTTCCTTTCTTTATCACTATTGCTGAGGCAGGAACAAGCCTAAGTGGTAGTGTAAGAGGACTCCTCACAAAGTTTATTTTCTCAACTTAATTATTCTGTAACATGACTTTGCTCATAGCATTTTATAGCCACAAATAATGTAACTGCCTTCTGGTACACAGTTGCCAAAGTAGCAGAGCAGTGCTAAGTGAAAGGCCTATTTTAAATTAGCCATAATCCCTTTTAAACCGAGTGCTTCAATTTGTAATTTCCTGTCCTATACTACTAGTGTTTATTTTTGTTTAACTTCTATGTTGAAAATATCCTATTTCAGATTTTTCAGCATAGTAATAATTCTACATAGGTTTAAAAATTCCAATTATAATATAATTTTAGAATCCAATACTGTTTTAGAGGTTGGCTCATTGCACCATTTTTTTTATTTCTTCCTTTATTCTTTTATAAAAAGCAAATTCCAGTTCTGAGTTCATGAGCTGTAATAGAAAGAAAATACAGATGAAATCTTTGTTTTGGGCTCAATGAACTGCAAGTATGATATACAGTTTATGAAGGGGAATTCTTCCCATATTTTTTTTTTCTACTTCACCATACAGAAACAAATTTCTGATTTATTCTTCCTCCCTTTCCAGAGGTTCTGTTTCAGCAGTAGACCATGTTCCACTCACTGCTACACAAGGGTCACAACCCTTGAGCTTATGATTTACGCAAGATAATACTTTGCAAACATGTGCAGCACATTCCAGTATAGAACGGATGATATTTAGGGGAAAGCATGGAGGAGAAATAAAAATCAAGAAATAGGAGAAAAGATGACCCTCACTTCATGGTTCTGCCAGCCAAGAAGGCAGAGAAAACAGTATCTATTCCACTGTGGCTCTTCATATGCAGAGGATGGTCTAGGGAGAACATAGAAATTCTGTCTCTGAGCACAGATACATCTCTTTGATGTCATCTTTCCACCCAATATATGGATTACAACAGAGGAGAGGGAGAGCTAAGACTTTTCTAGATGACAGTCCTGAGTGAGGACATGGTTTTCAAGTGGCAAATCCCTCCCACCCCCTTGCTCCTTTCACCAGTGTTGATGCATAAAGGCCACTGCCAGACAAGTGGCAGCATCAGACTGAAAGGCCCTGAACAAGGCACTGATGTTTTTCACTCTTGCCCACTAGAGAACCTTGATCCTTCTCAAAATGGCACAGAAAGAAACCTCTTAAATCTCCAGGGTAATATATACAAATGCTAGTGCAATACAGCATCTGTAGAGAAGCACATGAGTACTGGGAGGAAAAAAAACCACACACAAAGAAAAAAAGGTTAAAACTTTATATTTGCATAAATAGAATATAATCATCCATGCTAGATTTAGCCATGCTAGTATTAAAATTCATTTCCTGTCCAAAATAAAATATTTTATCTGTGTTTCACAGGATCAGAAGTGAACTCTCAAGAGATTTAAACCGTGATTTTTCAGTCTTATATAAAACATTATATAAAACAGAAGCATTCAAGTATTTATACATGCTTATATTCCCAAATCCTATTGCCATTGCAACCTCATCTGAGTTTCCTCTGTTCTTGGATTGCATGGTGAGAATGACACAATTTATATGTATTGTCCTATAAGTCTGTCTTCTGTCAGTATTACAGTAGTAATAATTCAAATATTTTAAGATAAAATTCATCACCACAGAAAGGTTAAGAAAGCAGAAAACATTTAAAGTGGACTCATGAAATCTGCATCTCTTCCCGATTTTTCCATTAAAATTTCTCACCACAACAAAATGCCACATTTGTTCAGACTGAAAATTCATCCATCTGTTGTCTGGCCAACAGAAGCTATCTACAGGTACTTTGGGAAAAAGTATAAAAAACAAGCCATGTCTGAAGTGATTGCTGGTAGCTGCCCCCACCCCTTTCCCCTGTGCAGTATTTACACTACTTTTCATCTGTAATTTTATTCCCCTGTTGCCCAATAGTGTGATATCACACTCCAGCTTCTTACTGTCATTTTTCCCCTGAGTATTTCAAACCACCTTCAGACTTCATCACCTCTCTATTTGTGTATGGGTGTATTTAACAGTACAGCCTGCAGTAATTCATCTCTCATGGGGCTCCATTAGTAACCTCATTCTGACGCTAAAAGTTTTCATTCTCTGTCTTTTAGCAGTTATTTGCCCCAAAGGGGCTTCTTTCCTATTTGGAGACGGTTTTAGGAGTTTTTAGGTTTTTTAAGACTTCTGGCTAATGATCTTGCTGAAAGCTTTAAGAAAGTTCATATATACTACATTAATCCACATATATTACTTACGAAGGACTCCAACAGCTCTGTGAGGCATAACTGCCTTGATAACATCCATATTGCCTGTTCCTTTCTGCAATGTATTATCCAGTATCTGTTTATTCTACTCTTTATGAAGTTTTTCTATTGATTTTCCAGAGTAAAAAATTAGACCACTCTTCAGGGACTTAAGTTATCTTTATCAACTTTCCTTTCTTTGGTATTGCTCAAGGTTCAAACTATGTATTATTGCCACATGTGATAGTTCAGCAATTTTATGTTTGAGATTCTGCTGAACTCATGGCACCAGCATCATCTAGACCTGGAGATCTGTAAAGTTTTTCCTGCTTCACCCAGAAGCCTGAAATGGAAATACCTGCAAGAAATTCTGTTATGGTTTACATGGTAGCTTGACCTGAAAAATACATGGGGTTTTCTGTTTTAGCAAAGCCTTTCTCATGGTTTATGTGTAAGGCATTCTCCTGCCAGTGAAAGTAAAAAGTATCAAATTTTTTTCTGGGATCCTCTCTTCCTTCCAGCTGCACCTCAATACAGACAGTATCACCTAGGCAACAGCTGGCCACAGGTGCTGCATAGCAGCAGTTCACTTCTGGGCCCCTCACAGTTTCTGGCCAAGCTTCTCTCAGTGGTTATCACCCCATGGCATCAGGAGAAGAACGGTTTAATGACCTTCTCTGTTCATCTCTGCATTCTGATGCCACTTCTTAGTAGTTAAGCCTGGATTCCCATTTTGCATAATCACTATTTCTAAAAAGCAAGAGAAAGTAATAACCTTGTAGATATGAACTGAAGTGAGGCTAGATGAACCACTGGAAAATATCACAAGAGAGCCCTTCTGGAGTGATAAATCTGAATAAGATGGATTAACAAAATCTTTGCATCTCCAACTTCCAAGCCTTGACTAAGATTTTCCATAGTTTACAAAGAGTGCTAATTCACAGCTTTCCCCCACATACACAATCTTCTTTAGAAAATCTAATATTGGCTACGTCAGGAGAATGGATGTAGGTTTTCCTGAGTCGTTGTCCCCATTCAGGTTCATCCACTCCCTCTTCCTCAGAGATGTGTAGAGCAGTCTGTAGCTTGACTATAGATGGTAATTGTGCATAATTTTAAACATCATGGTGGAGATCATTCTGGACTTTTCTCAGCTCTTTTCAATATTTTCCTCAACTTCCTTATCATCAGCCCAAGATAATTTGACTTTATTTTTAGTTGTCCTGCAAACCCCTTTATTCAGAGAGAAGAAATAATTCACAGCTGGTACATTCCTTACTGCCTTTGCCAATCAAAACATACAGCTTGCCTTTTACTGGCAACGTGGTTATCATAATTCGAGCCACTTGGCTCTTCTCTCAGCTCTCTCTGGCCAGTAAAGGAAAATTCACAGCAACGAAGAAGAACATCATTGAGTCATTAAATATATTTATTTGAATATTTAAATCTTTGGCTGCAGAGAAGTGCCTAGGAAGGGTTCCATGTTTATCAAGGGGGCTTACTGAAACCACACCCACAGACAGCCCTTTTGCAATTTGCTGACACCTTTGCTGTACACCCCTCTGGAAAAGAAGGAGGGAACTCTGTATTGCAAGAGACACTAAAATATAAAGACAATCCTCTCCTTTGAGACTGCAAAGTGTTGCTGATGGAACGGGAAATCCAATTTCCAATGATACCACATGTGGTGATAAGGAAATTATTCTCCTCTTAGTCAGAGACACCCTGGGTAATAAGCTGGAAGTCAAACGCAATGATCCAAGACTTGACTGAAGTACAGTGTGACCTGTCATGTCTCACACATTGAGCACTTTCAGACTTAGACAATCCATGCTCTTTGGGATTTTTAGGCTTGAGCTGAACTTTGCTCATTTTCAAAGAAACTCTGTTTGGAGCACAGGCTCAGCAGCTGAAAGACCACTTGGCCAGTGCAGAAAGAGTTACAGTACAAATAGAAGCTCTACCTGTTGCAGGTGCTGCCCGGTAACATGGTTCCTCCTTATTCCTCCTCCTTTATGTAACTGCTAATGCCTTAAGCCCCTAATAGTTTTTTATTTTTCTAATTTTGTAAGTCTTATAACTTTTATAAGTAGTAGAAGTAGATTTTAAAAGCAGCAACCCTCACATCCCCCTACCCTGTAGCACCATTAGTTTACACATTCCTTAACCCTCTTACCCCATTCTATGCACCCCATATCAAACCTACCCCTGAATTCAGTGGCAATGTTTAGTCTTTTGTCAAGGCAAGGCCTAGACTGTTTAGAGTACAGCATATCAGGGCCTGAATAACAAAATGGAGTCAAGAATTAGGTGAATATGTACCCTCTGTGCCCTGAAGAAGATGAAGATTGATGAAGAGCTGGTCCCAAAGAGCCCCCGACTCAATTCTCAGGGGGTGGACCCAGGGCAGATCGGAGCAAAGGCCACAGAGTGGACACATTTGGGATTGGATAGATGGTATTATAACATCTCAGGCACAGGGGCGGGCGTCGTGTAACATCTACTGCCTTGGCGCATTAAACCCTTTCCTTATCTCACCCCTAATTAACTGTTCCGGAGTTATTTTTTAGCACCAACACTCCACGGCATCACTGCTATGAGCCAAGGCAGTATCCCTTATGTGCTCTCTTATAGCATTGTCTCATCTCACAAAGCAGGAGAAACCTTACAGGTCTGTAAGTGAGATAAAAATGAGAAAGGCAAAATTAAGATAATCTACTAGACATGCAAAGCAAAGAAAACACTTTTTTCCTTCTTTCAAATTAATCTGTTGTACTATAAGAGTTATTGCAACCTTAAAAAAAGAACTTAGATAAAATCAAGACCCACACAGGAAATACAGTAGAAGAGTGTTTTTTGATCTTTCCAAAATATATCATTTTGAATCAGATTTTAAACACATAAGGGCAGGCAAATAAACAGTAATTTTACACTTACATTTTTTTAGCAAATCAAATGGGCAAAATTCCTGAAAATAATACATTCCTAAGGAATGATCAAGTAAATCAGTCAAATGCTTGGAAAAAGAGGCAGGAAATCGGAAAGGTCTTCTTGGGAAGACTTCACTGGTTTGTGTAGATGAGAAACAATAATACTGTGATGACGTAAAAGCCTTTCTTTTCTCTTTCTTTACCCATGTAAGTTCTAAGGGAAAATTTGTTTCTTAGAGGACTGAATGTTATAAATTTGTCTATACAAATCTAAACTAACACGAGTGACAGTTATCAAGTTAGAAATCCATTTTCCTAATGAGTGTCTTCTTGTTAATCACAAGGAAACAAGTCTAAGAAGAGAAACCCACTTCCTAAACCAATCTATCCCTATTGGTTAAAGTGCTGAGTTATTCTTAGAAAATCAATCCTGATTTTCTAAGAAACTAGACCAGATGTTGGTCACAGGCACCATTGGGTTCTTGGTCTCTGAGCTGACATTGCCCACAGGAACTGTCAGTTTTGTGCTAGACTAACTGGTCAAAAAAACCCCAAATGCACTATGTTCAAGGACTCATTACCACACACTTAATCATATTCATAATGCCAGGCTGGCACAGCTGTGTACTAATGCAAATAACGCCTTTTGAAAACTAAGCTAAAAGTAAAAAAATTCCCTGGCTCAACAGAAGAAATATTATTTATTTATTTATTTTATCCTTGGTTGAAGTCTAGCCATTAGCAGGCCAGCAAATAAGTAAGTTTAAGTAAGTTAAATAAGCTTTCAGGATCTCCTTATTTTCTTCATCATTAAAGGGCAAAACAAATTAAAATTGGAAATATTCCCTGCTGTCCCGAAACATCTCATCAATCACAGATTTGTGTTTGTGTTGACATCTTTTTCTTTTCCCTCCAAAGAAAAGAAGCTGGCTAAACAGAGCGTCTGCCTAGAGCCAATCTTTTCCCCAAAGGAATCTGGTGCTTATTCGAGTGAAACGAAATTACCAGATTCCAACAAATATTTGTGAGAGGGGAACAGGAATAAAGGTATTAAAAGTATTTGCTTGGTCAATTTTAAACACTTGCATAAGCAAAGCTCCTCTTTCTCCAAAATGGCAATAATTATAACTTTAGGCCTCTTGACAGTAAATCTTTCTCTTTGCCACCTCACAATTCACTCTAGGGCTATAGATATAATTGCTACATGTTCAACATATGTAATAAAAAAACTCCTGAAAAGAATTTTCAAGCACCAAGGGACCCAACTTGCAGAAAAGGAGAAAAATACACAGTCAGGAGACATTTGTGTCATTTTCATTATCCATTGCACACGAAAGAGAAGTAAACCAATTGGAGAAGGGAAGGCTTAGGATTGAATGTATAACAACATCTGATTTGAAGGACCAAGGCCTGCTTTGTGACTTAGGATGCTAAACTTTACTGTATTCTTCTATAATGTGTTTCTAGAGTTAATAAAAAATATAATGTAAAAAATTTAGACAAGGACAAATCAGGAATATAATATCTCCATATTATGCATGAAAACTCTAGAGAGTCAACTAAAAACCTTTTTCAATTGCCTCCTTTGAGAAAAGAAAGGACATATTTGCAGGTAGCACTGAGCACAGGTGAGAGACATAGAGGAAAAAAGGCTCTGCTTGTCATTTTGCGTTTTCTTAGCTTTTGCCAGTTACCACCAGAGCCTATAATATCTACCTCTGGGCAGTGCAAGGCTCCCTGAGCCTTGGTCATACTGAACTTCCCAGCACCTGCCTCATCCCCAGGCCTTCTAGGGTCCACAAATGGGTGATTCTGACCACGGGTATGCCTGCAGGAAACACAGAGGCATTCTCTCCAGGTTTTACTCATTTTGGCAGTTAAAGTACATGGGAAATGTAAGGCTGTGCTTCAAGGTCTTCTTGGCTTGGACAAAGAGAAGGCTATTTCTCTTCATCTGAATTCAGGCCCCATGTGAGCTATCCTCCTGTTGCCCAGGTTGGGAAGTTTGAGGTTTCTGTATTTGATCCTGCACCCTCCCCATTCAACCCATCAAAGTGGTTCACATGCCACTGCCTCTGTCCTCTTTTTCTCCAGTCTTTTCCTATGGTCCATTTGCCGTGTCTCCAGTCTCCTGGATATTGTCATGGGTTACAACTCCACTCATAACCACTGGTTTAGTTTCAGCATACGGAGCTGAGGATTGAAGGGGGTATGAGTGGGACAGAGTTGTTCTCTGCTACAGCTGTCAGCAGTCTGGTCCTTGCTTTCTTCTCACTCTGCCTGACCATTGCTACCTCCATTCCTCTAGGCCTGTCTCTGGAAATCCACACCAATGGAATGACTTTCAGGGAGCTGAGATAACATTCAGGCTTTCACTTACAAACTGAGTGACCCATGAACATCTTGTATTTAAAAGTTTTGCCTGTGGACCTCCTAAATGCTGATGTATAGAGGATTCGGTGACATTTGCTTACTGTGTACAGTGAGAGCAAACAGCACTGGTCAGGTGCCAGAATTTTGAAAACAAATAAATCTCTGGCCACTAATAAGCTTACTGAGAAGTTCCTTTCCACATTTCAGCATGTCTTGATAAAAATCGCATAGTTTCTAGGGCCAAGTCTTTGAACAACATTATGCTCCCTTTTTCATTTCCTAGCAAAGAAAGTGGCCACTCTGCTGCTCTGGGACCTGTGAATATATGGCATTGCTCAGACTAAAGGATGATATTGTTAGTCTTCCTGAAGAGAGATTACAGTAGTGGACAAAAATCTTTTCAGCCACAAATGAACTATCCTACCCACAACCCAACAAGGCATCTTTAGTTTTTATCTTTTCAAGACCATATGCATTTTGCTATACAGAGAGCACTATCACTTCTCATGTGGTTTGACCAAGAGGAGATTAACAAAGTGATCGTAGATAGCTGAAGGAAACCTGCAGGCACTCAATTGTGCCCCGCATTTCAGAGCTGCTCTGGCATTTGAATACTCATGTCTGTCTCTAGGGAACTCACCAAACCCGTTATCGTTGTTAGGGAGCACATCCAGACAGTTCTCTGGCCAGACAAACCATCAAGGCAAAAGTATGAGTAGGTTAGTGCCTAAATAACTGTTCCACCATGTGGTTTCATACCCTGATCATTAATTCTGCATGAGAAAAGGTTTGCTGAGCTGTCTGTGCAGCATATGACCTTGCCAGTGTCAGCTGAGATTTCCATCCTTACAATCCAGAGCGGGTGAAAAGTGGCTGCCTTTCTGGCTGTGTTTTAAGCCAGGTTTGCTCTTCTGTTTGGACAGCTCACTTGCTTCAAAAATTAACACTGAGCATACCTGCCTGTGCATTCATTTATTTAGGTAGTATCTCTTGTAACCTCCCAGAATGACTTTGTTTGGTTCAGTCATGCAATTTGAAAGACCTCTTGCAACTACAAATAGTTTCATCATACGATAATTTTTGGGCACAAGGTGAAATACAGGAAAATCCATTGAAACATAAGAAACCCCTTTTTTTCACTATGTGGTTGTCTGAACACAGGAAGATGCCCAGAGGTGACATCTCCACCCTTGTGGATACTCAAAATCTGACTGATCATGGCCCTGAGCTCTCTGCTCCACCTGACCCTGCTTTGAGCAGGGAGGTTGAACTAGATGGTCTCATCTAGTTCTCATCCCACCCTCAGCTGTTCTGGGATTCCATTTTGCATGAGCCATTTCATGTACGTAGGACAAAAGAAAATCTTGTGATAGCCTTTCACTCTCTATGATGGTCAGAAGGAGTCCCAGTGAAGGCTTTACCTCATGCTTGTTGTTGGAGCCAAGGTCTCAGCTGCAGTTAGAAAAAGCTTTTCAAGGGGCAGGGAGGGAAGCCTGTGTGGCAGCACTGCAACGAAAACATGAAAACGTGATATAATGATTTTGAAGTCTCTAATCCATCAGAATGCAAACCATATGTTTAAGAAGTTTTAAATCAAAAAAACTTATGAATATTCACTACTTCAAAAAAAGGTTGATTTGTTTTTTCCAGACCAAAAATGTTTTTCCTGCTGCCATCAGTGAAGAATGTGTTAATGAAAACAAATTTCCCATGGACCTTTGATGTCATCTGAATGAAAGAAGAGAAATTGCTGTTCCTATTCAGACTTTGGTTTTTGTGACGCAAGCTGTCACTGGCAATGATGTTATACCACCACTTCCACAGTGTATATTTATCCAGCACTCACACATCCTAACTGGGTTGTAAAATTTGATTTATTCCTTCTGCATGCCCCACAAAAATGTCAGTGTCACTTGCATTATGACAGCACAGTGACAATTTCTTGCATATTGTTTGTACTTCTATAAATTAAATGCAATTCCCCATCTCACCTCTCAAGTTGTCCACCAACATATTGGATAGTAATTCCATACACTTTATACAATATTGTCTTCCAGAATATCTGTGTTTCAGTGAACTGAAATTACTTACAACATATTTTTAATCTTAAGCAATGATGATTACCATTGCAATGGACAGCAACAAATTAACCCCATGTATTGCCTTACATGAGGATAATATTTGGTAAGCAATATACTACTGAAGTCAAGTCAACTTTCAAAGAGACATTTGTAAGTAACTCATGTAACTTTGTACTCATTGCAGTAGCATAAAAATAGAGAAAATATGACAAAATATATTTTAAAAAATAATCACCTTATTTTCCCACAGCTGTATTTTTTCTCCTTGCCCACTGTTTTTAATGGCTCTGGAAAATATTTCCCTTCTATTTACTTGCATCCTCATCTGTGAACCAGAATTGCCGATGATATCAGGATAGACTTTAGAAAAAATTTCATTAAATATGGTTAGCCTAAACCTGTAGTCCCTAAATGACTAAAATTTCTTTTAAAATTATTGTGAAATTGCTCTGTAAGAGAACTTAACATTATTATTGTACTGCACTATGCTTCATTGTTCCAGACATCATTAAGCATAGTGCACAAACATATGGTGAAAAATTTGCATGAGGAGCAAGTTCCTGAAAACCCACAAAAATCCTTATTGCTGGTGATGCTTAACTCTACCACTCTAATAAACATTACGATGATAGGTACTTGTTGAAATGTTGGTGTATAATTTTTATTTCTTGGTTTAGCACACATGTAATCAAGAGTAATTTTTCTTCCTTCCTAAAGGAAATTATTGCAAAACCAGAAGTAATATATATATATATATATGTGCTATTATTTTAGCTATAGAGAGAAATTGTCTAACCAGAGATCAAAAGGTGACATGTCACAGTGCTGTTAAAAGTTGAAAATATGGAAGTATGAAAGACACGTTTATATCATTACCTGGAGTGCTCATAGCCTGCAGCTTTCTTGCTCCAGTGAAGCAGAAACAGAACTTTAGATAGTTTTCTAACAATACCATGCAGACATTTACACAAACAGCCCATGGAATACCTTAGATAGGATAAGCTTTAAGATCAGATAGTTCTGATGTGTCAAGGTGTAAACATAGTCACCATCTAGGCCAGTTACCTCTCTTTCTGCATGCTGCCACTCACCAGAGATGGTGAGTTTTGGGGTGAGGGGCTTCCCAGTGCCAGCCCCTGTGAAGGAGCAAGATTCAGGATGGAAGCGGTTCCAGGTGTGGAGAAAGACATACAGCAATTGACAGGACTTTAGTATATGGACTTTACCGTTATTATGTGGTTTCAGATACGTGTATCGCATTGTACCCACACTACACAGTGCACAGCCTTGGCACGCCCGGGCTTGCCACGAGTTTTGCCTGCTCCCTGCTTCCTTGCTCCCCTCTCTGATAGGCTGAAGAAGCTGCAGAGAGGAGACAGTTACCATTTGCCCTTTCCTTCCCCGGTTCCTCCCACATTCCTCCCCCTTTGCCTGTGTCCTTACCCCAATTTGCTCCCCCGTTTGTCTGTCTCACACTCCTCCCCATGTTCTAGCCCTTTCCCCACCTAAACTCATAAAACCCCAGGCACACCTCAATAAAGTACTCCCTTTGCACCTCTGCCTCGACTCCGGACCTGTCTGTGCTGTGTCACGGCCCCATCCCCCCTTGGACCGTGGCAGGCCCCTTTGTGGTGCTGGATCTGGCAGGGCCCAGCTTGGACTACGCTGCACAGGCCTTAGACACAGAAATGTCAGTGTCCTTCTTCTACGCCTTGCCTTCTGCACCTCTGCCAGCTTGGGAAGCCCAGCTCAGATTGCAGTGTCACAGTCCCTGCAGGAACAGAGTTTTCATTCTGTGTCTTTTCCCCTGGGATTGAGGTTCAAACTGTCTGAATGCTATTTAGGTCTAGGGAATCTGGGCCACTTTAGTGAGCCATAAATTACACGCTAAGCAGTGCTTAATAAGAAACCGGAATTACGTATCAGAAGCACACTTGAAGTTTGTTTTATTTGACGATGCTTTTATAAAATGGTATGGTTTCGTGTTTTAAATAATTATAAGTATTTGAAGTAATGAAATTACAGGACCTTTTTACTTTATATACAATCCTAAAACGTCTGTTCTAAAATGTGAATGGGTTGAAAATACCTCTATTCTAGAATGGGCTCTTCAGTTCCAGGCATCGCACATGAAAAAGTAATTCTAAACCAAAGATATTTGTCCCCCCATGCGTATACTAAATTTTCATGTATGATTGCACAACTCTAGGATTCCTGAATGCCAGATTTCAAGTTACACAGAAACATTAGTTTCGAAGTCACAATCTTAACTGATTATTTGGTATCAAAGTGTCACAAAATGTCATTTTGTAATTAGACTTGTTTTATCTCAGTATATTCTTTCCAATGTAAATGTCTACTGAATCAATAGACATAGGACTCCATGACATTTTTAATAAGAAAATCTTCTATTTTAAGAATATTGGTTGTTTAAATTATTAGTGGTCATATCTACCACCACCATACAGAGAAATCTTCCAGTGACTTATGGATGAAATTTTGTCTGGCAATCAATTTTGTTTGGTCTACATTGTCCACATCCTTCCTATTCTACTGATTAATTCACATTAATTAGATAATCAAAACAAGGGGGAGGGGGTTGTTTCTAGAAATTATGTTCGTCATGGAATATGCCTGATTCAATATGTCTAGCACTCAGTCAAAAATCTACAAGTGAAGTATTCTTAAACAAGAACAACTTAATGATGAAATCCTTAAAATTAAATAATCTTTGAACTAAAGTCAAGGAAGATAGAGTAACTTTCTGATTAATCATTTGAGCTTCTGCTTAGTTCAATACTACCATAAATGCTTCTTTATAATAGATGCCATGATGGATTTCAAACCCTGTTGAAAAGTAATAAGAGTTTGTTCTGAAATGTCCTACTGACAAAAAAGGTCTAAGGTACAAGAGAAGGAATATAGCACTCAGTATTTTTCTAAGTAAAAGCTTTCAGACTGATCCAGAGTTGGTGAAGGCATTTTGACGTCCTTCCACTGCCTGCATAGGAGATTGGATCAGCTTTCAAGAGTGTCATAGGGGTCATCAGAACTAAGATTTCTTTCAACTGAAAAATAGAAGACTGAGGAATTAGAAGCCTACAATAATTTGATTCTGCCGAAATTTTTTAAATATCTAAATAGGAAAATGCTATTAATAAATATTTTCTTTTGTATCATATGTTCACATTATATTACTTTCCTGTAATTCTTTTCACTTGAAAATTTCAAACTGCCTGAAAAACATTAATCAAAGTTAATAAAACAAACAATACAGAATGTCACTGTCTGAATTGGAGCCAAATACCTGATTTACAAATTGATTGCAAAAATGGGTAGAAAGAGTTGTAAGTAATTTTGTTCCAAGCTCTTGAACTGATGCCTGACATGTTTTCGACATTGACATTACAGTTTTCAACAGGTTTGGTTTTATGGTTACATAAGTATGTTAAAAAAAATGACAATGCCCACTCTGCTAAAAAGTCTATATACAGATTGAAAAATTGGAATGAAAGTTGCTAAATAATAAAGTCTTGGACCTCTTCTGGTTGGCAAGCTCACACATAAATGTTATCGGTTACTTTGGCTGAATGCTCAGCGTTCGCCCAACCCCTCCCCCAAAGCGAGAAGGAGGAGGGAAGGGGGAAAGGAAAAAAACTTGCAAAAACGAAGGCTGCTGAGAAAGGCGGTTTTATATTTACACAGAGAGGAAAAAAAAGAACTATAAGCACTATACGCAGAGGGAAAACTAACAATAAAGACTACTTCCCCACAAAAGCTGTTTTCCTCCTCTGAAAACAGCCGTCTATCCTGTGCAATTGTCCCAGAAGAGAAGAGCCAGAGTTGTTTCCTTCTCATCTCTTTATATCTGAACTGACGTAACATGGTACAGAATAGCTTATTGGTAAAATATACATCAGGTGATGTGTCCTAGTTCTGTTTCCCTCCCAGGGAGGATTACAAACCCACTACAATAAAGTAAATTGATTTTTAACTTTTTGGAACAATTTTAGTTATTATCACTTTAAGCAGTCACTTTACTACACAGATCAATTTACCGGTGACCTCATTTTAAAGATCGCCTTCCAGAAAGACACTAATGAAAGTCATCATATTATGCAGATGTTCTACAGCTGGACCTGGTAGGATACAAAAGAGAATTTCAAGGGTCAGTGGCACTAGGACAACCAGCAGTGTCAGAGCCCCCAGGCACTCTGCCATAGAGACAGGTACCTGCAAACTCACAGACTTTCCTGCTAGCTGGAAAATGCACATTTGGGAAAAAGCAAAGATGGTCTCTCCTTTTGGCCAACAATTTCAAATGATTGGCCATGAGAGGAAGCTTTCTAGAGGAAATATTTCTCCAGAGAAATTAAGTTTTAGCAGAAAGAGTGAAAAGGACCAGGCCTAAAGACCCAGAAAAGCGTACTTGATAAATCCCTTCAAACTTAGAAAATATGACATTACATCTTTACCTATCCATGTGTTTGGTCTGCTACATCATGATTTGCAATATGATATGTAATCTGTGGTTCGAGGAAAAATGGATTTGATAAATAGTGGCATGTGATTCAGTGAGTTTGGGGTGGTTTGGGCTTGTTTGGGTTTTCTTGAAGCGATTGCTGCTGGCAAGATATCAACGTTTCTTTGGAGGAACTGATTGGAATACTTGTTAGGAAAATTCTTACTCTAACAAGATAATGAATCCCAATCTCTCTCTTTTCTTCACAGAAGTTAAGATGCTGGTATGGAGTGATACCAAAATTATTATTTAGCCAGCAGTAGCAGAATCAAATGACCCAGTTGTAGAAGCTATATGGGACACATGAAGGTGATAAAATAATATTTAACAATCGAGTGCCACTGCAATTTCCCTCCAAACAACTTTCTGATTGAGCTGGTTCACTGGAAGAGAATGCAAAAAGAACTGGGCACAGATTTCCAAAACAATTCTGCAATTGCCAGTGGAAACCTGGCTGCTGGGAGCTTCCCCTTGATGAACCTCTCTGGGTATACTCTATTAAAGAGTACCTCCGGATACCAGAACTCACTACATAACTTTAGAGTGTAAAATCCCACTCATTACAAAGTACCTCTTCTGACTTCACTGGAGTTACTGCACACTTTAAAAAACATAAATGCTAGAATAAGCCATCTGAGCCTACTGGTGTGGTGCTTCAGAAATACAATTTTGTGCTTTAAGATATTTGCTCTAGGAGGATAATACTTATAAAAATTGGATGTATCTCACTGAGCATTGTAAAAAAACAAAACAAAACAAAACAAAACAAAGCACAAAAGGAAGTGGAAATTGCCGTGAGAAAACAGAATGCAGACCCAAGGATGCTTAGAAAATACCACTTGGTTCTAACATATGTCAAAAGTAAGTGAAATATTAGTAACAGGTGATTCTTCAGTCTTCCAGGAGATGTAAATGTTTAGTGTTGAACCAGAGAAAGGAAAATAGAAATGTATTTTCTACTGCCTCATCTGTAATAAGTTAGACTGGCAGCCTAGATCATCAAATAACTCAATATGATGAGAATTTATGCAAAGGGCATTTAAAGTGGGTCTGGAACAGTCAATGCAGTGAGTAACATGTTTTGAGCTAGAACAAAACAAACTGTTCTCAGGCAATGTCTTGTGTTCACCAACCACAATTTCCTATTCCTTTTACCCTACTCCAGGCAAGCTTTCCAACAGATTCCTTGCATAAATGTAGATACTAGTGCTAGAATTCTGTCTATCAAATGCCATGAAAGTTATGCCCTTCACTTAAAGTAATTGATATTTTCTTCTGGAAGTGATGTTTGGTTAACTGCTGAAGCTTGCATTTTTGGGTTGATCTGAGATAGTTGTTCCTCCTTTTTTATGTCTAGGGAAAATATTTGTATAAAAG